ATTAACTCGAAATATGCGTGTCCAGCTGCAAAGCGACCAATCAGCTGGGATATTTTCACACAAGTTGCTGGCAAATTGGAACGGAACGGTGTCGGCTGATCCGACTTCAGGACGCATTTCACTACGTCTTACCTTCGACAATTTAGCTTCGTCAAAAAAGAATTGTTTGAAAAGGTATGTCCCAATATTCCAACCCTTTATACGAATCCCGATTGGCTGAGCGAAAGAACTATTCTTGCCTACCAACTTAACCATATTATTCAGTCGACACTGTTGTGGAAGCAGGCGAGGCAGTTAATTATCCAACAGAATTTTTGAATTCACTTGGTCTGCCAGGGATGCCGCCGCACGTACTGCAACTGAAAATCGGTGTGCCGATTATCATGCTGCGAAATATAAACCAGCGAAAGCTTTTCAACGGCAGGCGGCTCGCCGTAAAAATTAATTAGCAACGTCGTGGGGCCACTCTCTTGACAGGACCCTTCAAAGGCGAACATGTCCTTACTCCTTGCACTCCACTGATTCCGACTGATATGCCATTCCAATATAGGAGACTGCAATTCCCGATTCGATTGGCGTTTGCAATCACCATCAGCAAAGTTCAGGGACCATCTTTAGAATTGCGTGGTTTGGATCTGCAAACTTATAAGAAACGTGTCTCTTCCTCTTTTCTTTCTATCCCATTTCATCAGGCTGAGCCATGGCAACGCGTGGCCGGATCTAAATAGATTATAATAAAAACAGGAAACGCTACAGCTTTCTTCTACCCAGATTTTTTTCCTATGAATGTCCAAAGCATGATAAAGCAAGAAACGGACAACGCAGACCCGGATGAAGAGCATTTCAAATGAAATTGCAATGCGGCTGGCGGAAGCAAAAAAAGGAAAAGTACAATTTTTTAGTGTGAAAAGATTTTTAATCGAAAAGAAGTCGACAATAAGATAAAGCCAGCATACATAAGAGGCGTATTAGTAAAAGGCATGAATAAATGTCACCTTGGAGAAAAATAATGTTTCGGGAACTAGAATTACAGGTCGCGCTGTGCCTCGTTCAGATGATTCCAGTTAAATTTACTGATGGACCGAGTTACATTTCGACTAAGTTGCCTGAACCTACTCATTTGATACTCAGGGTGATTTATTGTGACTACTATGGTAGTAGTGTCTACAAAGCAGTACAAGTGGTAAACAAGGTATTCTGGTCCATATTTAGCTGTAGACGGTGACGTAGGTTCGTCACTTACATGATAAATCTATACTGATTCGACGGATTCAAGGAAAGTGACCGGTCACCAAAGCTTTAAAAGATACTTCTATGCGTTGCGTACTTCCAACTATCGACTTCTGCAGATGATACCGCCCCGTGATAACAAACCCTTCAGCCTCCAAAACAATTCCCGTACTCTCCTAATGAGGTCTCCAGTCTTGGTCGAACTGCATTGCATATCCCTCTACATGTCCTCCTTAATTTTATTCACAAACCGAAAACCCACAACAGTCAAAGTTATGAAAGCACAGGTAAATCAAAAACTTGACCATGAATTTACATTTCCTGGCCCATCCCACTCGGTGCTTGATTTGTGTGTTCTTCCCAAACGGATTACGAAGTGAGAAATCGTAGTTCAGGTTCGATCAAATCCCCTATGTCATTCGAAGTCTGCTGAGCGATGCACCTACCTAAGGCCGAGTTCGCTGGATATTACTACAGAGATTTAGTTTAACCTCTTCTTCGTACTTTTGTATATTGTGGTATTTTGCTTGTAGGAAGAACTCCTGTTCCATTTCGCATTCAAGACTGTCACAGCTGCTTTCCTCGGATATCTTGTTTTTTATCGTTGCCTCACTCCTTACCCTCCCCTCTTCTTCTGGTAGGTCGTCACTACACAACGGTCCGTAAGCACGCGCCTAATCTTCCCTTAGGTAAACTGGACCGGACTTGACAGTTTGGGAAGAAAACCTGTACAGACCAGGGATAGAAGAGGCTAAAGAATACAATTTCCATTCGAGGATATCTTCGAGCATTTAGCAAACTGAGGGCAGCATGCGTAGAGAATGGATTGACCCCAATTCCTGAGAGGTGAGACTGTATATTGGAAAGACATAAGGCGTTTCGTTCCGTCTACCCTTGAGGCAAGAACAACTATAAGCAAGAAGTGTTTTGAGAACAGGAAGGCTGGGTTCATCATTTCTGACTTATTGGCTGACACTAGTATCTGAATTTTGAATCCCACTTAGTTGATTAGAACGAATGGCCATAAGCACTATATTACGGGATTACACCATGTTGGTGAAGGGTAGGCTACAGATCCTCGACCTCGAAGCAAAACCAAATCACCCATATTTCATCTTCTAGGAAGAATAGACTGGGCACTTCATCACCATATCGATGAATCTGATTTATTTTTCTAAAAGGGCTGAACAAAAATACTTTCTTACTACAAGGCAAGTTTAAAGTTTTGTTTTCCACCAAATAATTAGACTATTTGCGAATTATTGATGCCATCATGACCTGATTGATACGTGTGTCTACGAGTCAGCTTGTGTTGCTACAAGGCCTGATACTGCTCACATTCATCCTCAAATAATCTGTCAGGACAGTCTTGGACGACCTAACTGGTAGAAAGTCTGGAAATAGGAAGTCTTACAAGCACTCTATGTCGTTATCAACAGCCGCCATCTCTCTTAGGTAGCCAGGACTGTAGTCGCCTGTCTGAAAAAGGCTTGACTGAGTGGTAAATCGAGAAGACCCATGGACAGACTGAACACTGCGCGATGAAGGAAACTTTCCCTTTTATCAAAGCGGTGTGCAGAAAACCTGCCAGAAAGTTGTCAGTGTTCAGCTTGGATTAACAAGTCTGCATTTGGAGAAATCTCCGATACTGAAGTAGTGAGCTGAACAATTCTGTTGCAGTCTTAAACTCACAGCTTCACAGTGCTAAGGGACTATCAACGAAGTTTCCGAAAGTAACGGATGACGTTGATCTTAACCTCCTGCTAACTCTGGAAGAACTTATACAGATTGGCTAAACAGTTACGGCTGCCAGCAGGGTTCACAACAATGGAACAATTATCTGCTAGAAATTTCGACTTATGTCTACCAAAAGGATGTGAGCTAACTTAAAATTTCTAGGAATTTTTAGAGCATGAACAACGCTAACTTCTACAAGGTGACAAGGAAAGCTAAAGGTCAACGATTACCCTTGGGGAATAATTCTTCTCAAAAATCACTATTAAATAGGACCGAAATAACATTAGCAACCACCCAGGATACATCATGCGGTTGCCTTGTAGTCCATGAGCAACCTTTAGAATCCGTCGTACATACTTGATAAGTACCATGATCTGCTAACAATTCATAATTTTCATTCACGCTGAGTAGGAAAATGCAGAGGCCAGAGGAGGGAAAACAGCAACGTGTGACAGAATGGGAGCAGTCAGCATGCAGTTTTTGAAAAGTGTCTATATTACCAAAGCACATTTGTTTCCTGGACTGTCTTGCCTCAAATTCACCTAGTTCTGCTAGATTGATAACACAGAGCACCGAATGTTTGACTGCCACGAACGTTGATTTCCACATTATGCCTTACGGCATGGCAGGTGCAGGACAGTGATCTGAGCGCATGCTAGTTCGTAGCGACAGCGGACTTTCCTACTTTACCCATCCGTCCCGGATTGAACACGGTGGCCGAAAAATCTGAAGAGCCCGCATACGCTTGGCACACACAACCTAAACGGCGCACGACGACAAGCTTTTCGCAGTAAACAAGGAGGCGACAGAGATCCCACTTGAGTGTGAGTGAAATAGAGGCATTTTCAGGGGGGGCCCATTGTAGCCTAACTCTCTGCTTTGAGGGAACAGTGTTGTTTTCCCATGTGTCAGCCGTCCAAGCTACGACCTTCAGCGAACCATGATAGATTCGCGAGTGTCGGATTTTTTACGGTGAGAAATACGCAGAGACCCCGTGAGAAAGGAGTTCACAGTGTCGAGCGTACTCTCTCTTTTCCCCATTCAGCTCACCGGTCCGTCATCCTAAGAGGTCAGTCAGCTGGTGGGAGGACTGGGCGCAGGTGGCTGACTCTGCGTGAGCCTACGTCTAGGCGGACCGTCACGCCCCAATGTGGGGCGTTTTTTAAGGATCGCGCGGACTCAGTGCGGCTTTGTTAAAACGTGCCGTCTCCCAATCGGGACCCCGTATTGGTCCAGAGCCTCCACAGCGCTGTGAATTGCGGAATCGTCTATCTGTGTGTGGGTATATTCAGAGGCGTGGTCATAAAACGGGTCACGAGGTAGATGCGCTGGACCAGCGCACGGAGGGATTCGTTGGGGATGCGCACCCATAAGAAATGTAAATCATTGGGGCATGTTATCATGCTTAGTTGTAAGCTCAGACCACGCCTTCTGCCTGCGCACAGTCCCTCCTAAAATCTTCTTGAATTCGTCATAACACGTGTCCAAATGGGCAGGGACAGAGGGTGGTAAACGCAGCGCAAGTCTGCTATTACTATAAACTACTTCTCGCTCAAGTCGCCGTCCTTGTGCAGACCATTCTATGGGACGCCTACCTGGCATCGTCAGAATCGACAGTCCAACTGTCGTAGATGTCATATGCAAAGGAAAATTAAACTCAAATATAGAGGTCACCTGGCTTATACGGATAATTAGCACCTACCCGACCGACTCTTCTACGACGATGTTACTATGAGTGAACGCCGAAAAGGAACACCAAAACAATGATACAGGGACGCCTTGGCAATTCCTCTTATACAGTTCCAAGTCAACACGGAAACGCAGGAAGATCACGATCGGAATCACCTGACCTGGAAAAGGTCAGCGAAAACTGGAACAGCACTTTACGAGGCCAACCGGATCGCCGTTGCCAAAGCCAAAACAAGGGCACGCAAGTTCTAAGAGACTCCGAACCAGTCTCTTTCATCGTATTCCGACACTTAACGGACATCCAGCGCTGATCAACCTCGTTAAGCATCTTCGGACCCAATGTGCTAACAGCATGACAAATCCCCTGCTGTCTTCTCAAATGCCTCTATCGCCACTCTGCCACAACTCCCACGGCCGCCATTATGACGGCGATGACCACCACTACCATCATCATCATCATCATCATCATCATCATCATCATCATCATCATCATCATCATCATCATCATCATCATCATCATCATCATCATCATCATCATCATCATCATCATCATCATCACCGGTGAGCACACGCCAGGTGCACCGTCGCCCTCCACCCTTAGATCCATCCCTGTCAAAATCCCCGAGACAACTAATGTCCCCTCTCACCTCCACCACCGGTGACAACCCTCCCTACGTCCCGTCAACAGCCATACTCACCACCAACGCCCCACCATCAGTATTGAGGAATCGATCCAAACCTTTCCCCACTGCAGTCGTGCGTTCACCTTCGTATCGGCCTGGCCGGTTAATTGCGAATTTATTAAATTGAGACTGGCAAACTAGTGCTAGACGCATCAACACATACACACGCATGTCTCCCTCACCTCAACTTGCCACACTGTCCACGGATATTCATTCGCCGCATTTATCTACTCGGCCATATGCGTCTCCAGTAAAACCTGCGATGGTACGCCGCAGGCCAAACTTCATCACCGCACACTTCCTCTACAATTTGCATACAAGGCAAAGCGTAGCACATTGGATGCTGTTGCTTTAGTTGTTCATTCAGCTTTGAGAGACTTAGACAAGGGATGCCGTGCATATGCATGTGCTTTTCTCGACTACTCATCCGCCTTCAACACTATTCCGCGCCAACTCTTCCTGACCAAAGCAACTGCGTGCGACACTCCGAGCTGGGTTGTCTCTTGGCTTAGAGATTATTTTTCCTCCCGCACTCAGTTTGTCCAGTCGGGAAGGAGAAAATCTTCTATTCTTCCAAACAATTGTGGAGTTCTACAAGGTTCTATCTTATCCCCTGATCTTTTCTCCCTACATACTGATGATTTGAGATCGCCAAACGACTGCCTGTATGTTAAGTATGCCGATGACATGGTCGTAGGCCACCCACTCAAAAACCTGACTCACCTACAGTCTTTAAAGGATGGCTTAGACCACGTCTCCGCATGGTCGTCGAATAATGGACTCCTACTCAACAATCAGAAATCAGTACAGTGTGTGTTTCGATTGCGACCCTCTCCCATTCCTGAACCTTTGGATATTCTTCCCAATGAGGTATCTTCTTTCCGGTACCTAGGTGTTACTTTATCCTCAAATCTCTCTTTCTCTCTTCATATAGAAACCCTTTTAACAAAAATTCAAAAACTTGTTTATTATATTCGTCGTCTACGTTCATATCACACACCCCAGTCCTTAATCTGGCGATTCATAGATGGCTGTATTCTTCCACTCATTCTTTATTGTTCTCCAGTTACTTTTCCAGCTTTACTTAAAAAAGATCTAATTATTTTTAAGCGTGTCATTCGAATGCTCGCCTCTGCTGCTGCTGTTTCCTATCATCTTTTAGTTGATATCATCGTGCAGCGACATTTCAACTCGGTGGAGCAATTCGCTGACCGCATTCTGAATGACACCGTCCATCCCCTTCATAATGAGTTAATGGCTGCGAAATCCTTACGCCCCACGCGTCGATGCTTCCGCCACATCCCTTGCCGCACTTCGGCCTATCGGAATTCCATACTGCCATTTCTAGCCCGGTATCTCACCTGCAAAGATGTTGAAAAACAAAAACTAAAACTCGATCTTGCACCTTAAAGTCCTTTTTTCTTCATATATAATCATGTCCACCTGTCTGTCCAAAAACCTGTTAATCTCTATGGTAATCACTGTGTACTGGAGAACCGTTTTTGCTGAAAGTTTTGAAAGTTATTTTCAAAATAAAGCAGTCCTCTCTCTCACTCTCTAACAAATGACTCTGCTCTACACCACTCAATCTGAGCACGCAATTTGCACCTCTCACGCTAGCGAGATACATGTTCTTTGGTCTATCTCCATTTAACATCTGTGGTACTTTAACGCATATGAGATCCGAGCAACCCATCCTCTTTATGTGAAAACCTGGTGTTGTCTTGGTTGTCAGGTCACGTGTGTCACGTTTAGACTGGTTGTCTATTTCTGTCAGCCAACTGTACCTAATTCCCGCATCAGATGACTGGCCGGCTCCGACAGTTGACTGATGCCTGGAAGAGCAGAGAGAGAGAGAGAGTGGGAGTTAGGTCGACTCCGGACATTGCGTCCCCACGCATCTAGCTGAGATCATTCACTATAAACAATCTGACGCGTCTTTAAATTAATACAATACGCTAATAATTGCCTTCTTGAGGGTTTTCAACTGCCTAGATAACTCTGTCTTCCACCAGGACGGAGAATTAGGATGCGACAGCACCATCTTAATGTGGACTCAGTGGCACCCCGAGTAGGTTGTTGTTTTGTTTAAGCATGGTCCATTGTTCGTGGACAAGGCAAGTGTGACATGCCCAAAGGGTTGTTCAGACTTATCAGCCAATGCGACCGATTTCACCTCCAGTCGCCTTGACTTTCTAATGACAGCGGACTCAGTTGTATGAGAGGTGAGTGTGGAGGATGAAGCGTTAATCAGATATCAGCATGAACTAATTTTTTGTGCAAGTTACCACCCTTGGACCCACGTTGCTACTGGACAAACAATGGACATCGTCGGTAGGGACGGTTTCACTGTCGTGTGTGGCTGCTTCTCGCGCCCAAGCGAAGTATGGGACTTGAAGCCGCACATGCCTGTGCGAGGAGGTCTGTGTTTTCTCGACTCTGCCTTGACACGGGGTTCAGGTGGGGAGTAGGAGAAGAGAGCGCGGTAGATGCTGTGCAGGCCTACTACCATTATAAACTAACTCACGCACAAGTCACCGTGCCCGGTTTCACCTTGCCGTGGAACGCACGGTGGACATCGTCGGTAACGACGGTCGAACCGTCTTCTACGAGTGCGATCGCGGTGCCCAAGAAAAGAACTCACCGGCAACAACAACAACACGAATGTGTCCCATGCGATAGGCAACAGAAGTGAGTTCCTGAGTCGCCTGTGGGAACGGCGGCGTGACCGTGTGTGGATGGAGCTTGAGAATTGTGCTCACGAAATTCCTCTTCGAGACGTTTGCAGCGTCTACCTTTCGTCGGAGGTCGTGCGATCAAAGAATATTGCGTTTGCTTATATAAGATATTTTGGTAGTTGACAGTTACGTAGATGCTGCATCTTTCAAACGCTCATCCACGTATTTGAATGCTTCTAAGCTACCAACGTTTATTAATACGCGATTTCTCTGAAAGCGATTACACCATAGTCTTTGTGCTCTGGTGTAGAGACGTCTTGCTACTCGAAGATAGTGGAATGTACTCAGAATATATGGTAGATAGAGAAAACAGCAGAACCCTAACTCCACTTTAATGGTCCGGTGTAGTCTCAAATGCTCTATGTGGAAATGCTAACCTCTTAATATCATTTTACTGGAGGTAACTGCACACACCAAGGGTTTTTTCAATTTTGTCTGCGGAACATTATGAACAATAAAATTTCGTTGAAAGTCAGGGCTACGCAGCAGACTCTAGCCAATTGGGTGGTCGCTCAATTTAAATAACCGCTTAGTGGGTACAAATTTTTGAGAAAAAGAAACAGACTGTGTGTGCTCCGAATTTAATAACCCTATGAAGGTCGTAATTCAACCTGCTTGAGACAATGATTGCGGACATAACGCATTGCGATATTTATATTTGTGCCGAGTAAGCAACACGCGCGTCTGTATCCGTGCGCTCCTCTGGGACTAATGCTGAATAATGTCTGTAGTAAGGTTAGACCGACGTCTGGGTCGTTCTCGGAAACGCCGCCCTCCTTGGTCAATAAATAATCACTTTCGTACTATTATCGATTTCAGTAGACGCAGTGCTGCTTGCGGACACTTTCAGTCTGAGGCGCTTTGCGGATTGCTGCGACTGTGATTCACAATTAATTTAGGGTTCGGGATAGGATCTAGGGTTGGGGTTTGGGATTTAGGGTTAGGGTTTAGGGCTTAGGGCTCAAGATTTGGACTTAAGTTTTAATGTTAGGGTTTAGGGTTAGGATTTAGATCAGTTGACACCCACTTCATAAAACGTTCATCTACGGCTTAGGTCTGGTTGGTCATATTCTCGGGCGATTTACTTTCGATGACCTTGATGGGCCACTCACCATTATTCCTACTGGAGTTAGTTTTTACTGGTTACCTGCGGCGAATATTTGTATTGCGCTCCGCTTACGCTGAGATCTAATGCCCACTAAAACAAACTGGCACATTGCGTTTTCCCCTCCGTTTTCGTACATTCATCGAGGCTTTCCCGCAGGCCCACCCGTAAAACCCCTGTTACCACGGTTCCTGTGTTGGACGCGTCTGGACGTTTCCATTTTCCAGCAGGACCGCGTTTTCGGACATTGCCAGCGCCTGTATTCGCACACGTTAATGACGTGTTGAGTATTGTTACTGGAGAACTATTTTGCACAAGCTTTGACACCTCGTCTCCAGGCGCCCCTCGCCTTAAAACCGCAGCATGTCAGATTACGAAGATGATCTGTACTAAAAGCAGTATTTTGCATCACGATAACCACGAAGATGGCGAAGGCAGGATCACTGAGCATGAATGAGAATCCATTCAGCAATCTCAAAATAACGGTGATGCGAGGCGGAAGACAAAGTTGCAGAAGTCTGATGACTAACCGGGCGGACAGGCAATTACAGAGTACATTAAAACTATACCTAGTGTATAAAAATGACGAGGTGGTCCTTCCTATGAGAGGGAAGTCAGGTGGATGCTCTTCAGTTGAACTTTCCGAGGAGAAGACATCAGGTTCTATTCGATTGTTCGGATAACTGGTTTCTAATTCCCACCTGTGCCTCCACTGTACTGGGAGTATTGCGGTGGTGGGTTATCAGGAGTTTAAAATTTGGACCAAGAAGCTTCTAAATGTGTATTATTTGTTTCGTTTTGTAAACTGTCTCTTTCATTTCAAACATCCTCAATTTTGATGTCACTTGTGTGGAATGAAACGTCAGTATGGGTGTTAGGACTTTTACGCCGTTCAGATGATCGAGGCAGTCAGGTAGTCGGCGCTATATGTTTTGGCCGCAAAATGTCCCAAGTAACCTGAGTCCACAGTGCATACACCTGCTTTTTATTATGGGAGCCTCACAGTGCCAGTAAGACAGACATGAGCGGCTGTAAAGGCTTCCAACAGAAACGTGAGCTCTTATAAGCAAAGACTTGGGCTGAAATAAGGTCTCTTCGGAGATCCAGCCTAAACAGTCTTCCCAACTTGCCAAGTCGGGAAGTTAAAGAGCGGGTTACAACTACATCTATTGCATAAATACGAAGAAATAGCCCTTTCTATAAGAAAAAATGATGGGTGCACATCTTACTGGTTACAACTTGTGAAGACAATGCATCGACCCCCTCGACCAATTTCTCAAAAATAGCTCACGTGAAATTAGCGTCTGATTACCACTTACATGTACTGAGATTACTAATGGGTTGTAATGGTAGTTATAATGCACCCCAATCCCAGAGCAATACTCCCATACCAAGTGTTGCCAGCTTTCAAATGCCCGCATTTCCGGCCGCATGAAAAGATGACGTCCGTCAACCAATGTCTGCCAATGTAATTTGACAATTTTTGGCTGCTTTTCGAGTCTTTATAGTTAGGATTAGGGTTATGAGGGTTAAAGTTAGGACATGGGGATAGTAACCTCCTCGAAATTTAACCCAAAATTACCTGTAGTTCTGACAGCTATATATTCCCTGTTAGACCGAAGTCTTTAGATGGAATAGTGGCCTGTTTTAGCTTAGGAGGTGAACTGAAAGTAGGTTTGTTTGGTCATTAATAGTGTGATCCTGCATAACTAACGTCTTCAATCTGAAACCGAATTTGCAGGTTTCACAGCAGACAAATAATGACGTCGGTTTTGTCACAGACAACTAACCTTGGACTGAACCACGTGCTCATCTGTCGTCTATCGTTACATTTCCTTAGGATTGAGAATAAATGCGAAGGCGAACTTGTTCCTGCTGCCTCAGCACGGGAGCAGCAACAAACCAATTAAGACTCTTTTTTGCATTTCTTCTATAAACCGAGTAGATAGCGCGTTTCCGCCTTCCGGTTGAATTTCCAGACAGTGAACTTGTGCATTTATTCTGCTTTGTTACATTAGGTGAAAATTCGTGTATGACTTTAAAAAAGCGGATAAGGAAGTTACAACTATTAACATAGTTAAGAATATAATAGTATGAACCTTTTGTTCATGCCAGCAATGAAAAACATTAAAATATATTTTCTTCTGACGCCGACTGAGAGGCATCGTCAGGGAATAACCGAAAAGGTGCGACTCGAATCGCGGAACTCTGATTAACGAGACACAGTTTTATCAACTACACTCCGAAGCCTCAAAGAGTACGTAATTTTAACGGAAATAAACTCGATGTCGTACCGCAAAAAATTTACGCCACAAAATCATCAAGATAAGTGGAGTCGTTTTTTTTACAAAGATGAGTGTGCGTTCGTGCGTCAGTTTTTTCCAGTATCAGGGTTTCACCTGTCCAAACGAACGTTGGAAGACTTCATCTCATATTTATATTTCTGGACCTATGGCGGTACAAAACGTTGGAAATATCCTGTATAAATCCAGATTAACTAATATTACGTATTATTACTATTTTCGTGCAGAGAAATGTCACAAAAAAGAAAACAAAATGAAAGGGTTACGCGGAGAGCCAATATAACCGGGTTTCAAATGATGAACACGGGCAAAATATTCGATCTTTCTGATTTGCGAATAGAACTGTCGTTCTCTAATCTAACCAAAGGTACCCCGCGAATGATACATCCCGGCAAATTTGAAGGTAAAATTGAAGTATTGGCGAGTACTTTGGTCTAATTACGATATATTTATAAGTAAACCAGTCTATTAAGGAGAAATGTCCTTAAAAATTGCTTTCGGGGTCGGTACTTCAGCAAATGCCAGCCCTAATACTCCCTACAGACAAATATTTAAATTCCTTGCAGAAGTGTATGAACTTCTGCAGCCAAAACGTTTTGCCAAAGTGCGTTTTAGCAAATGTTAACCAATGCTTACCCGGTTACCGAGAAAGACAACGTCTGGGCATCATTATAACTCAGGCTGAATCCCTGTCTTCATCAGAGTTGCAGTCATCAAAAATGAATCTCTTTTTTCTGCGATATTGCAGGTGTCTAAATGACACTTTATGAACATCCAACAAATGCAACAATCGATTTCGGTGATCGCGAAAATTCCCTTACTCTCCTCATATAACCTCATTTTTTCGCCCCACTTGATTACCCAAGTAATATAAAAGCCTTCATTGACGACTAAATGTGCGTTAGATGGCAACTCTGAACGCAGTAAACAATCGAAATCATTCGCGGACAAAGTACATTTTGACAAATTTATCAAGTTTCGTGATACTCGGTGATAACGGAGTGCAATGAGTGATTGTCTCGGTGTCGCTTATGCATGAGACCTAGAAGCAAACGTTGACAGTCAACAAAAACTGCGTGCATAGTACGGGAATGTTGTTTATTTATATTTTGGAGATACTTTCAAATAAGAAAGAGCTCCTCACACGCCCCTGGTGAAAATTTCAAATATCGTTGAGACTGTGGCAGGTTTGCAGAAGTAATACCAAGTTCACAGTAGAGAGGACCCATGGAATGACTCCAACTCTCATATTCAGGTTCCATTCGAGGTCCGTGTCAGAATCGCCAATGAGGCTGTAGTCGTTCTGGGAGTTGACTGTGAGATATCTTTTTTGGTCAAAACGATGCGATTAAGGTTTACTTTTGATGGGTTTTCATTATTAGTCTGACATATAATTTATGTATCATTGGCGGATAAAAACCAATTATTTTACGGTGATATTAGGTGGCTGACTTGCGTATATCAGAGGATGCTGTAGTCCACGAGAAAACTCACAGTTGGCATATTTTGTCAAGGTATAATCGGGGAGT